ATTGTATAATGTAAGTATGCCCAAAGGGTTTGGGCAGCCAGTTGACCTCGGACCCCTAGAGGGATTTTTCTCTTTACTAAGGAGTTTTGGGTTTCTCTCCTCCACTGTCTTCTGGTCTTTTCTGTTCTGTATTCACGGCATGTATGGTCACTTGCTTTGTTTGCCTTGGGGCAATCTTGTTGTGAAAGGCGCTTTATCAAAATAAATTGAATTGAATTGAATTGAGATAGAGAAGGCACAGTCATTCATAGTACACAGTTTGGTTGGATTAAATTGACCTGATCATAAAGACCAGGGTGAGGTTTGAAAAAGGCCTGTGAGTGCCTTTTCATTTTAGAGTCTTAAAAACTAGGAGAAATTTAAAATCCACTGGTGGATGGGGAGCCATTTATGTAGCTCTTTTCCAAAGCTCATTCCAAAGGATCCCAAATCACTTTACACATAAAGGGAGTCCCACTCTACTGTGTATGTGGAACGTCTGAAGTGTTGTACCTACCGGGGTGCCACATTATACCAAAGTGAAGGGATGGCCAGATTACAAAAGTACAGAGTGGAATGTTTCCAGCACTGTGAGGCTAAAACCACTTTTCAATTCCTGAGCTGCTATCTGAATGGAGGTTGTATATATGTTCTGCCCATGCTCATATGGGTTTCCTTCAGGTGCTCTGGTTTCCTCCCACAGTCCAAAAACATTTGTCACGATTATAGTCCCCCCTCCTTAAGGGTGCTCCAGCCCTTCACTTTAGACTTAATTCTGTGCACCTGATCCCTTTTCCCAGCCCACCTTAAAAGCCAGGCGCAGACGCTCATCCTGGCTCTGCATCTGGTTTCCACACCGTGCGAGTCCGGGACCTGGAATTGCCTGGTCCCGTTAAGGTTTTAACCCCTGTTCCTGTTCCCTGTCCGCCGGTTCCAACTCAGTTCATGGTTTTTAATTCCTTGATGGATGGATCACCTGGCAATGGACTTATTCTTGTGTTTTGGATTCCCTCTATGGATTGTTTTTGGATTGTTTGCCTCGGCCACACCTCCCCCGTGCACCAGAGCACTTTGGACACGCCGCCCTGTTTTCAGCCCCGTATTCCTGCATGACGTTTTCCTAGTGTTTCCCCACTTCTTCGGATTGTGTCGTCCGCATAGGGTCTGGAAAGAACTGTTCGTTACAACATTCTCATAGGTTAGCTGGCTTGTGGGTAAACTGGCTCTGTTCTGAGTGTGAGCATGAATATGTTCATATCTGTCTTCCCTGTGATAGAGTGGTGTGTCCCATCCAGGCTGTATCCTGTTTTGCACCTGTTGCTTGTCAGTTTAGGCTCCAGCTACCCCTTGACATAGTAATGGACATAGAGGTTAAGAAATGTATGGATGAATATGTCAAAACATTTTATAGATTCAGTATACTCAAGAAGTATATTAATTGCCCTTACTAAGAAGGTTGAAACAATCTGCCCAGGGACACATGACCTGGTATCAACTACTGCTTTGGTTAAAAAAAGATCATTGTCAGGCCCTCCCACGGCAATTTGACTCTTCCGCAAGTACTGAGGTCTGATTGTTCAGTCTTATATATTGTTGTGAGTTTCTATCCCTTTATCCATTATAATTTACAAATTGATGTGCATCCATGTCTGTATGTCACTATAGTCTGTGATCCATTATGGAATGCCATCATATCACATGGGAACCGGTTTCTGATAATTGCCCCTGAAATAAGGCACTTGATTGACTAATTGGTGACAATCCAACTAGTTGTTGAAATGTTGTGTTTACTGCTGCAGAGGGTGGAGTGAACAGACATTTTGAATACATACTGTAAATGTGTTTTTGAAAATGCAGAGAAAGAAGCCAGCACCAGATGGAGCCAATAACTGAATGTACAGTTTTGCACATTAACAATCCTGTTTTCTTGAAATTACAGACATTCAAGACCCATAAAAGTCAGGCTGTAAAACTTTTACGTTTGCAAACTACGAATGATAAGGCAGCAGCTTGTTTTTAATTTGCACATTCCGCACGTTTTTGGAGGGCTTGGATTTATTAGGCCACACATACAGAACTGGATTCTGCTTTTGTGTATAAATGCCTGGTGGTGCTGTTTCCCAAGTTTTGCGTAGTTTTATGTTATATCTTTTTGAAGTTTTGACTCCAGCAATTTGACTCCTTGAAATGCTCTTGATGTGTAGAGAAAGCTGGTTTGGCCTATGAGTCCTCTGTCAGGGCTAACACTTGTCAGTTGTGTTTGCTGTGTGCTAAATAGTTGTGAGTTATGATCAGGAATCTTTTAGAGACTTAGATCCACATTTGTCAATGACATTTTTGTTTTGATTTTATGGGGTTCTCTGCTATGAGGGTGCTTTCCGATGCTTTCTGGGATATTCTTTAGACACTTGTCTTATGTTTCAAGGGACTGGTCAAATCCATCCATCTTGTAATACTTTGTCTACTACAGGGTAATAAGGGAGCTGGAGTCTATTCCAGCAAGCAGCAGGCATAAGGCAGGATGCACCTTGAACAGGACGTGCATTGCAGGATACACAAACATCTACACACTGACACTAGGGCCATTGTTAACCACTGCTCCACCTGCCACCCATAAGTTAAATATCGGAGTGAAACTTATTAAGTCAAAACATCACCACTATGCATTATTAATAAGCTATAACCTATTAGCAATGCATAGTGGTTAACTGAATTAGAGTTCCCCAGAGACTGGAATATGCATTGATGCAATCCTAGTGAAGGTTACTCAAAACTTAAATCACTCCTACAGGTCATAGGAGTTTAGGGGACCCAGATCAGTGTGTGACTTTTCTCTGTCTTCACCTGTCCGTGCTGTCTTTGTAAAGATGTAGCACACTTTTACAAGTATAAGTGCTACAGGGTGTCCTAAACACTTATCAAAATAAAAAAAAACTTATTGATATCTCTCAATTCCTAAAACCATCGCAAAAATTCATCAGACAGAAAAATGAAAAATAATAAAAAGCATACTTGTAAAATACAGACGAAAAATACAGAATACAGAAGCACTTTTTGTAGATGTGTTGCACTATAATCATTTGCCTACTTCTTCTAGGTGCATTGAAGGATGATGATGATATATTTATGCACTCTGCTTCTGCCAAAAATCACACTTCATTGCTGCAGCAGTCTGACACTTTTAGCTATTTAGCAACCCTGTAACTATTAGTTTGCAGATACATTTTTAGAAGCACATTGGATTTCTGAGGTTTTTTTAAGACTGCAACATCTTTTCAAAGACAGCACAGAGAGGAAAAGACAGAGAAAGGACATTCTGATCCTGGGCCCCAGTATTGTTCACATCACATCACCCCCAATTTCACCATCAATGCCGCCAGGGCTGCCCGCTGAGTGTGACGCAGGGCGCAGGACTGTTAACCCTGGCTCTGCAGGAGTGTGGCACCTCTTCAAGCGGAGTTTTTAAGTGCCCAGCTGAAGAGCCACTGGCAGATCCCATTATCGTTTACAGCTGCGAGTTCCTGGTCTGCTTTAAATGTAGGGCTTGCACCTGCCCTGGCACTGGAGGGGGGAGGGTGTTAGAAATCACCAGCTTCAAAAGAAAAGAAAGAGGTACACTTGGCAACCCAGGCAAATTCTTGCACATTGAACGCACCAGTTACAGTTATCTCCCCTGCGGCACCTTGGATAAAAGATTCCATCCCTTTACTGAGCCACACATCACCACAGGAGTGCCCTAATGTGCTGTAACAAGCCACAGGCAGAGATCTTAATTGGGACTCCAATCAGAACAGCTTTTTTTATGTTGCCCCTTAAGGACAGTGCTGGTCACAAATCCCAAGAGTGTAAGGACCTGCTAAAGAGAATCTGAGCCCTGAATCGGAAAAGACTTATATCTTCTAAAGAGACACACCTGCGTTCTGGATGAGATTAAAAAAATTGCATTTGAATAAAAACAACACACAGCTTTAGTTGGGGCATTCGCTGCGCCTAGGATTCAAGCTTAGCAGTGCAGCTGCTTCTAACAGTGGCTAAACTGAGAGTCTTTTCTTAAACCAAAAAGGACATGATAAACAAAAACTGCTTCATTCTGATCAGATTCTTACAAATTCTTAATCCATCTATCCATCCGTTTTCTAAACTTTTCGTCCCCTTCAGGTTTGTGGGAGAACCAGAACTTATCCGAGCCTGCAATGGGTGCAAGGCATGATACATCCTGGACCATTGCAGGGCAGACAGAAACACACACAGACACACACTCAAACCAGGGACAATTTTCCCAGAAGGCAATTTAACTTTCAATTTGTCTTTGCATTGTGGTTGGAAACCAGAGCACCCAGAGGAAACACAGCTGAATATGGAGAGAACATACAAACTCCACACTGATAGCACCCCAGCTCCAGAATTGAACCCAGGACCTTGGCTAACCACTCTGCCACCATGCCACCCAAAGCCTTAATCCAATTATTATTTGTATTATGAACTGTATGTACAAGACATTCTTTTTCTTTAGCTTTTTGGCCATTTCGAGGCCCGATGTGTGCTGCATTTTTTAATCTGCTGCCCTCAGCTGGACAACAATGTGTATTGTGCACAGAGCCTGGTACATTGATCTTAACTCTGCTGTGCAGTTCCAGCCTGCTCGTTTGCAGCCAGGTTAGGCCTAGGAACCCAAAGTAAGCGTTAATGGAGACAGAATATAGACTTGAATACTTGTAGGAATGTCTGTTTCTCCCTTGGCTCACACTGGTTTCACAGGGATCCTTTTCTTATAGACCCTCTCACACTTTCACTTCAGTAGCTGCTGATTTATAAAGGCCTATCCCACTTTCTAACAATCATCAGTGTTCATCACTAACAATATCTATGTACTTTTTTCACAGCCTGTTGAAAATTCACCAAAGAACTTAAATAGGTTCTGTGCGCTGAACAGGAGGGCTTAAACTCAGCAGAGGCTCTTTCCAGCTCCTTCTGCATTTTTGGTTCAGTCCTCTAGAGGGCAGTCAAAGCCCACTAGAAAAGCAATGTTTTCCTCCCTCCGTTGTCCAAGTTTCAATCCTTTTTTGCTTGGTCTGGTTCCTTCTGTAATGTTAATCTTTGGAGTGTCTGAAGAAGCTGCGCCAGCTGAATGCTGTCTTCCCTGGTCCAAGGAGGCTGGGCTGCATGGCCCATCTGAAAGGACAAGAGGGCCAGCAGCGTGACAGTGCAGTCAGGACATAAACACAGAAGCCAAGGCAGCTCACAACACTGGAATTATTGCCCTTCACTTAACCTCACATTTAATTACTACAGAGGTAACAAAAAAGCAGCCAGGTGGGCCTTCTTAATAGACATCACGCTCCAATCCTGTAAAGTGACTACTTGTGCACATTCATGTGTGAAATTCAAGGCAGAATCTTTTCCACAAGGTCATACAGCTGTGGATACTCAATGCACAGTTTATTCAGTGGGGATGAGGTTAAGTTGGCAGGAATTAAGTTCAGACACTCACAACTGCAGAGTTCCTACTGTACCAAAGGCCTCAGGCAGCAGTGGGGAGTAGTGGTTAAGATTTTGGGCTCAGAATTGGAAGGTTGTGGGTTCCAATCCCAGGTGGGATAGTATATTTAACTATAGGCTTTCACTTTGGCTTCTGTAGTAAGAGCTTTATAAACCTTTCTAAATGGGTAACAATTTAAGTATATTACCACTATAATATATTACTTTAGGTTCACGCAGTGGTTAGCATTGCTGGCTTGCACTCATTTGAAATGACCTGGGTACTATCTGCGTGGAGTTTGTATGTTCTCCCCCAGTTCGTGTGGGTTTTTTCCAGGTGCTCTGGTTTCCCCCCACATTCAAAGGACATACTGGTAGGTTAAGTGGTTTCTGGGAAAACTGGCTCTGGTGTGAGTGTGTCCATGTGTGCCCTGCAATGGACTAGCGTGCTGTCAAGAGTATATCTTGCCTTGTACCCTTTGCTTGCCGGGATTGCTTCCAGCTTCCCATTGACCCTAAATTGGATAAAGCTGTTAGAAAATGTATGGATGGGCAGGAAGGGCAGAAGTGTCAATAATCCTGTGTGTCAACGAAATTGTCATACTCCAGTGATTATTGCTAGCTAGAAGCTGTTCAATAATTCCATAACCGGTTTAAATGCTCTCTCAGGGAGAATGCTTTCATTTTAGATGCAGAATAGAGTTACGCTCTTCCAAGGAGGTTTTTTTCCTGCAACGTGGTTGTTCGCAGATGTTTGACCGCTCTCGCAACTGCTAGTGTCGGAGTACCGGTCTTTATTCTTTTCAGGACTGACGAAATCCCTGCAGCAGGCCGTGCTCTCTCTTAATGAGGACACAGCATCAGCCAGGATAAGGTAAAAAAAAATGAGCATATCATCGGGATGTTAGAGGAGTAAAACTGTTGCTATAAAATTTGATTTAGTGTCCCTCTCTGCAGCTGGAGCAGCTTACCGGCTTGAGCTTAAACATGATGCATTAAGACTGGGACTGTGGACGTCCTGTTCTTGTAACTCAAGAAAAACAAACGCTCTTTGAACAGAGATGCACATTAAAAACGGGGCCATAAAACAGCATTGGACCTGAGCAGAAGACATACAAGTGGAAACTCTTGTTCTGAGCTAATCTAAAACAGCGTTGGAGAATAAGCAATTTGATTATCTGAACCCATGGACAGGGATGAATGTAACACACAGGACAGCTGGGAACAGTCAGTCTTTTGCTGGAGGAAAGGTAAAAATGGGACTTCTCCAAATGCAGAGTGTTTAACTGAATGAAAAGATCAAGACTGAATCCAGCTACTGGATATCAATGACAAAATTGTTTACGTAACAGGGTCGGGAACACTGCTGCTGATTAAGCACGGCTGTGCATGATCAGAAGATTTATCACCTCGGTGGATGGGATGGAAGAAGTTTCTGAAGACAAAGGAAAACTATTTTCCCTGTGTTGTGTAGAGAATCACGGCTCTACGGGGTGTGATCTGTGTTCTCAGCCACCATGGTGTACAAACAGCTGCAGCTTGTTAAATTTTAAACCCACTGTTGCATTCAAACTAAAAAAAGGAGCCAAACAGCCGCAAAGAAAGAAGTGGAAGGACAGGGGAGAAGCTTATACACAAAGAAAATCTAAATGGAGTTTGGCTTGTATTGTGCAGAAACTTAAAAATGTAAAAAGTGAGTTTAGGGGGGAACTCTGACTGGCACTGAAAGGAAAACAATATTTATTCAGTGTTATGATGGTGGAAATCAGCTGCCCTGATTTTCATTGTATTGTTGTGCTGAAATTATTAAGAGTCTCTGCACTTAACTGTTAGTCGATAATTATTTAATTATATATGAGACACATTAGTGAATGCTTGTGTTAGCATGAGCACAGGAGATACAGACTAAAGACACCGTATGGATGCGTGTATATTTTTTTACCAGCAATAATTGCTGAGTGCCTAAGCTTTTTTGGGTGCAGTAATTGACTTAATTGGACACAGAGTTTGTTTCTGTTTGTAATGTAAACTGCACCAGTTTCCCTACTGTACAGGGTGGTTCCAATACTCAAGGGGTGTTGCTTCAGTATAAAAAAGGAAGGACTTAGTCATGGACAGGACAGGTCCCAGTGCATTAAGGGTGGAGTTTCACTTTGTGATAGGTGGAGCCTCAGGAAGTTGCTCTGTAGAACTCCCTTCTTAGGAGAGAAGACCTTTTCTGTAAAGAGGTTGTGGTGGTGGGGGGTAGTTTTTGTGCATTGGGAGCATCTTAATGTTGAGAATGGCCTTCAGCATTCTGTTTCTATATTGCATTGTTTTGTTCTCACTCCAGATACAGACAGAACTGTTTGCCTGTTCAGTGTGATGAATGGTGACCAGGTCTTTCATGACACAGTACTCATCCTATGCTAATTATCAATAACCATCCTCCTTTTCCCTTACTGAAAGACACATGTTATACTGATGGTAAATCTTTTGGATTTATGATGTCTCCTATAGTTGTCACAGGGTTCTGAACTAGCAACTGAAAGCTTGTGACACTGCTGTTGAGCAAATTATTTCAAGTGAATTGATTCCGTAAGATATCTAAATGAATGGGTAAGTCGTATTGAATAAAAGTGTCAGCAAAATAAAAAAAATAGTTAATAAGTATGTAACGTGTGAGGAATAACCCAGAAAGCAATAATAAAAGCTTGCAGAGCTATAGCACTGCCATTCTTTTGTTTTGTATGACAAACTAGTAAAACCTACTGATGTGCAAGGGAGCTCAACTATTTCAACTTGAGTTGCCTGCACAAGCACATTAAAGTAATATGCCAGGATTATGGACCAGATACTGATTTCTTATGAGAACTAGCTTCTGTAGCATTGGTTAATGGCAACTGGATTGAGCTGGCATTGCTGTCAGGATTTCTGAGGTTTGTCTCCAAAATAAAGTCTTCATCGCTGAATAGAAAGCTGAGCTATAATCTGCAAGTGGTCAAAGGAAAAGCGATTCAAGAGCAACCCAAAAGTGTCTCTCAAACAAGGCTGGGGTTGTCTGGGGTTGGGCAGAATGTGAAGCAATATGCTACTGCAATCTAACAAGCAGAGGAATGCAACAAACAAGCACATCAGACCCCCAAAACACACCAGCTCGTCACCCCTTATTCCAGCCTTTCTAGATTGAGAAAAAAAAAATATTCCTGTGTGTGCTCTCAAACAAAAGGAAAACATGACTGCATCAATTATTGAATGATTGCAAACCATGAAATCAACAATGGAAGATAAAGGAGTTTATTATTATAAGGTAGTTTACATCAAAAACAGAAAGAAGATAGTGGATTAAGGTGAAAGTTGAGAGAAAAAAGCAGGGAGTGTGTTGAAGCAAGACTTAGCATCTGAAGAAAGGAATGAAGCCATATTTCAGGATGTTAAAAAGAGGTACAGTACAACTATTGGACAAGAGCCAAGGGGTGTGTTTAGGATTAGGATTATTTTCAAAAATTAAACATTCTCTGGGAGAATTTTTAAAGTAGATGCCAAGTAAAGTGGCATTCAAGTGGCTCACAAAAGCTCAATAATTCAAATAATGATGTCAGGTAAAACCAACTGACATAATGCAATGAGGTATCTGCGTCTCTTGCATCATACAGTTCCATTTAAGAGACCATCTAAGCTATTGAAGCTGTACGTAAGTGTGCAAAGCACCAGATCTTATCCAAATTAACTGTGAAAGTTACTGTGTGTAACGAAAGCATTCTTTCAGGACCCAATGCAGACAACACAATCCGGGGAAGGGTGAGGAAAACACGGGGAAAAAAGCATGCAAGGGGGCTGGAAGGAAAACAGGGGGCGTCTCCATGGTTCATTGGTTTTCTAGGGGGTGAGTCCAAGGTAAACAGTCCAAAGATTGTCCATAGAGAAATCCTTGATGAGGCAAATGTCCAGAGCCGGGTGGTCCATCCAAGACGAAGACAAACGGAGTTAAAAACTGGAGAAGGATCCGGCGGAGGGTGGGTGGGAAAAAGGGGTAACGGGACTGGGAACCAATGCCGAGCCCAGAACAGAGTGAGCGTCTGGTTTAAGTAAGAAGGCAGGAACCGGGAGCACGTGCGTAAAATCAACTCAAATGTGAAAAAGCCGGAGCGCCCTTATACTGTATAATATACTGTAATTATGTTTTGTTTACTCTTGGCAGAAACCTGCTCCCATAATGTGCTGTAGAAAATTTCACAATTCCTCCACTGCAGCTTAATTAATCTCCATTTTTGTTGAGCTGTTCTGTGAAGCCTGTGCTGGGATACATGCTCAAGCTACTATTGTACTTCTCAGACTCCGGGATAGCCACTGCTGTGTGCTGGCTCAGCGAGCTTTACTTTTATTTATAAAACTGCAGGGAGTAGGTTTTATCTCCCCAAATAAAATGTCTCTTCCAACTTTTCTCCCTGGAACGAAATGAGTTACAAATAATATGAAAGGATGTGAGGACAAATATTATAAAAGGCTGATTTATAATCAATTATAAACTACTACATCATTAAATACATACAGTATATAATCTTGGTAATCTGATAATAAAATAAATTCTCATTAATATATCCATCTGTGGGCAGCATAGTGGCACAGTGGTTAACACTGCTGCCTTGCAGTGCAGCGGCCCTGGTTTGAATTACTTATCTGTGTTCTATCTGCATGGAGTTTGTATCTTAAAC